TGCCCCTCACCACGGCCTGAGAAGTGGGTACCATTGTCATCCATTCTACAGATGGGCGAACTGAGGCTCCACCCAACCATGTGGAACACCAGGGCCTTGCCATCTCCATCTACTTCCAGCTCTTAATGAGGGGTAAAGCCAGACATCCAGTTGTCTCCAGCCAGGGGGACATTCTCCCAAAATATTTTGTTTGAGGTTCCTACGGGGACGGAGAAATGAATTACTGCAGATTCAATGGTCTGGCTTTGGAAAGTGCAGGGTGGGCTGGGGGGCACCCAGATTCCAGGCAGGACACCCACCCCTGCCTCCCACATTGCACTGTGTGCTCCAGGCAGGGTTGGGGGAGGGACCTGTCCACCTCCTACAGCATGTGTGTGCACGTGGCACCCAGATCCTGCACCTCAGACACCTCCACTGCAGCCCTTTGGGAGCTAAGGGAGGCTGAGAGGAGTCATAGTCTGTACCTCAGGCTCCCCCATGGCCCCAACCTTGACCATGCAACTACTATGTGCCAGCTATTTCTTAATTTTAATTTTAATTAAGCAGCTCTGCCCTAAGTCTATCCCCCTTCTAGAGAAGGGCAGAATGAGGTTTACATGTCCCCCACTGTCAGATGGCTGGGGAGAGGCACCACCAGGACTCAAGGCCACGGTCCAGTGACTCTTTTTGGAGCCCTCATCGCAGCCACACTGGATTTGAAGGTTGCCCTGCTCCCAGAAGGGCCTGATTTAACTGTGCAGGCTGAAGCCAGGAACTGGGGGTGGGACGCGGGACTGGAGGGCTGGAGACCCAAGTTTCAGTCTCCCTCCGGCACCAACTTGCCAGGCACCCTCAGTTTCCCCAGATGTGGCAGTGGCAGGGGAACAGCATGATGCCCAGGTCACCCCCAGCTCCAAGAGCCTGTCAGCTCCCCGAGCTCATTCTCGTGCACCTCGGCTCCCCCAAGGCACAGAGCCATAGAGATGAGAACCCTGGGGCTCCTGTGAAAAGGCAGCCCCCAGGACCTACTGACTTACTGGGAGACCCAGAAATCTGCCCCCACCAGGTGATTCCTTAAGTGCAGTCGTGCTTGAGACTCACTGACCTAGAAGTTCCCATCCTTGCTTCCCCTCGTGACCTTGTTAGATCGCAGCACCAAGGTGCTCTGCTGCCCTGGCTCCCAGCCCTGATGCCAGTCACAGCTCTGTGCACAGTCCTCTGCAGGAGTCCAGGGCCCCGGCCACTGTGGGCTAAGGCAGGGCAGGGACAGGTCTACCCTGGTCACACACGAGGACACTGAGGAGCAGAGAGACAAAGCGACTTGCCCAAGGTCACACAGCTGGCCAGGAGCAGAGCCCGGGTCTGGTGTAAGCATCCTTTTAACTTGGACTCCAACATCTGGGGGAAACCAGAGGCCCAAATAGGCCTTTGCTGCTGCATGCCTGGGACCTGAGATGGGCTAGCAAGACTCCCCACTCTCCCTAGAATACAGTATGACCTTGGACAAGTCCCTTCCCCTGGCTGGGCCTCAGTTTCCCTCTTCTCATTGGGTCTGGGCCAGGGAACTTTAGAACACACAGTCGGCTTGGCTTTCTAGGTGCTGTCAATTCCATGGGGTCACGGGATGGCAGAACTGTCCGGCTGCCTAGGACAAGGCCACGCCTGTCCTAGGAGAGCCCTGGAGGGCTCTGCCTTCACCCACAGGAGACGCTCTGGACCCTTTCTTGGAGCCTCACCCCCAAATCCTAAGTTCTTGGCCTACTGGTGCTCAAGAAGTTGGCACCCCAAATTGGAGCTGGCCTCACACAGGAGGGGAAAGGAAGAGAGGGTCCAGGAAGGCAGGTAGGGAGCCTGATGGCCTGGCTTCCATCCCATCTCTGACACGTTCCAGCTGTGTGACCTTGGGTAACTGCCTTCACTTCTCCGCACAGCTTCCTCATCTGTGGCGTGAGAATAACAAGGCTATGAGAGGCCCCACTGAAGTGACGCACGCAGAGTCATTAGCTCAGCGAATGCTAGAGGGCTCATTATTATCTACCCCTGTCCCTTGACCCGCACCTGTGCTGGGCAGGGAGAAGTGGGGTGGGGGTAGTGGGAAAACAGCGGGCAGGGACCAGCCACGGGCAGCTTTTCTGACCTTCGGTTTGAAGAGGACTTTGGAGGCTGCTGGAGGCATCCCAGACCCCAGCTTTCTGAGAGCCCACAGCCATGTGCTGGTTTTCTGGTGCCAGAGAAGGGGGTGGTGGGGCTAGTCCAGGCTCCTGGTGGCCTGGAGCTGCCTCTAGACCAGTAGCTCGTCTGCCCTGGTGGGCAGTAGCCCCCGCCCCCTCCACTGTTTCCTTTCCACCTCCGGGCAGCCCTCTCTGCAGAACATCAATAACCCAAGATGGCCTTGCTGAGCCCAATCATGGCTTCCCGGGAATGAAGCCTGGCCCTCCCCTTAGGCCTGTGTGGGAGCAGGTGTCCCTCTGTCCCCACAGGCAGTTCCTGATACGCAGGCCTCTCCCCAGCGCCTAGAGAGGCACCTTCACTCCCATGGAGGATGCCTAGCTGCTGAGGGGCGGGTGTGCGCACATAGCACCTGCAGAGGTGCTGCATCTGTGTGCCTGGGCTGTCTTTGTACCTGTGCAACCTACATTCACCTGTGGGCACATTCCAGCAGGCTGTGTGCCTGCCAATGCACAGAGAGGCATGCAGATGGCACTCAGGACACCACACGTGTGTGCCTGTCACTTTCACAGGGGCCAGCCCTCACATGGACACATGCCACATTTGCGGCTGCTGCAGGGCACTGCGGTGTGCAGGCCGATTCACCCATGGGCAGCCTACTGCATTCCTGTGTTGGTGCTACATGCATGTGCGGGCATGCTGCATTCACAGGTATGAGTGTGTGTGTGTGTGTGTGCATGCTGCATTCGTGTACATGCTGTATTTTGCAGGTGAGCAGTGGTATTCAGGAATGTGAGCTGTATTCACATGTGCATCTGAGGTGTATCTGAGGGCATGGACACGCCATATGTGTGTGTGTGATTTGAACAAATATGATGAACTACTCTGTGTACTATATTTGTACATGTGCACCTGTGCAAATCTGTGGATATATATATGCCTTGATGAGAATGGGACTGGGGGTACAAAGGTGGCTAAATAATATGGGCCATCAGCCTCTTTCCTGGACCCTGCCAGCAGGGTTCCCCCAGAGCTGCAGCCCCCTCCCTGCCACTGCTCCTTCAACGAAGTTAACAGGCGGGGCCCCCAAGGCCTGTGCTCCAAGCCCCCTCGTTAACAGCCCCCAAGGCCTGTGCTCCAAGCCCCCTCGTATTGCACACGTCAAAGCAGAATTTCTCCGGAGGGCGCCCGCCGCTCCTGGAAATGCCCCAAACATCAGCTCTGCCTCCTCCCAGTGATTTGGAGAGCAATGCAGGCAAGGAAAGGAGCCCGTTCTGTGCCAGGCAAGGGGGGTTCAGGGTCACATGAAGACCCTCTGTTGGTCCAGCCTGCTGCTCACTTACCCTTCTGAAGGTCGAGCCAGGCTGGGTCTCTGGGTGGAGGCCCCCAGATCCCCGGGGCTCTTGCCTGACTGGGGCAGGCCAGCCACAGAGACCCCTCGCCACGTGACCTGGGTGAGCAGAGGACAGCCGTGGCGTGGAATGGCCACTTGGCTAGAAGGGGTGGCTGCCCATAGCAGCCCACCCTTGGGGAGTGCAGAGGCCCCCTGCTGGATTTCCCAATCTTGACCCTGCCAGGGAGCAGGGAGGAGCCCCAGGTGCCTAGAGCTCAGCCAGAGGCCACCGAGGCTGGCAGAGGAACGGGGCTTTGGGGAGAAAGTGCCAACTCCACCACCCAGCATGACCGCTACAAAATGGCCCGGCCATCCCGCTCCTGCCCCTCTCCTGGCCATCTCAGGCACCGGGGGACTTGTCCATGCCACCACACACCCTGGCTGGCCTGACCCGGTGGTCCGGGCCACACAGCAGCCCACCCCACCAAGGGGACCCTCCACGGGGGCAACCCTCTGCCTCTTTCCTGGGACTTTGGCCGCAGTGGGCAGGGGGCACCCTCTGGTCCTCTGTTTCCCTGGGACGCAGCTCAGAGGGAAAAGAACCTTGCCCCACACTGTCGGCGGGCCGGCCCTTGCGTAACATCCATTAGGGGCATTTGCTGTCCAGAGGCTGCCGGACTCTGCCTGAGATCCCGGGTATCCGCCTGTCCGAGGCCCCCCTGCCCGTATCCCCAGCGCCCCAGCCCTCCCCCCAACACACGGACCCTCACACTAGTGCCTCCCTCAGCGGCGGCTCCCAATGCAGCCTCAGCTGCTGTCAGATAAACAAGCCCGGCTCCCCCC